CTCTTCCTTTTCTATCTAAACTCTCTACCTTACAAAATGAGAGGGTGTTGAGAAGAGTCTACAAAATACCTGTGCTTGAAACAAAAAAATAGTGATTTGAACATGGAATCTCCGTTTCCTCAGATGAAGGCCTCTTCCTTTTCTATCTAAACTCTCTGCAAATGTTGACCTTTATTTTAAATCACTTCCCAAGAAAACGTCCATTTTCACTACAAAATGCAGTGATCTGGCTTGTTAAAAACATAATATTCCCTACTAAATGCACGCGCTCATGGTTAGCTTAGATTCTTAGCACATATGAAATCTCCTTACCATATGGTAGGGGTTTGAAGTCTTATCAGCTCCACAACCTTGTTTTGTACTACTAAATTACCCCCCAATTTTTTAGCCAAAAGGTAGTTTTCTTACCAAAAACTTTTTGTTAGTGGACTCAACCCCCCCAATTTCGTAGGGGAAATGCACACGGGGATTCATATAATATATAACCCAGACGCTCCATGTATGCCATATATGCCTACATTGACCCTCAAACCACCCCAATGTAGGCATCTATACCATACATGGAGCGTCTGGGTAATATATGATACACAGTGAACCACTAGGGCATTGGCCAAACAAACAGGTCAACCCCTGCGCGTTTTCGGGGAGCCGGGCCAACGAGTCCAGGGTCCATACCCCCCTTGGGTCCGATCCCCTATTCACAGCATAGGACTACCCATCCAAAACAGGTCAGTAGGTGAAACCCAGCAAGAAAGGCCCTGTCAGTCCGTGTCAGTTCCCCAAAACATCATTCACAATCAACATGTTTGTGGCAAGTCGCCAGGCTCCAAGAACATCCAAGAAAGTCGGGAAGACATCTCGCAGTTCAGTAATCTCAGAAATCTCGATGCCTGCGAGCTTGACGGAGATTCTCGCCCAGCCAGCATGGCGATTGGCTGAGCATGGCTGAGACTGAGATCTCCACATTTGGGGTTCTCAAGCTGGTTGAGAGTTGCCAAAGCCCTTGCCATTTTTGTTGAGAGTTGCGTGAAGCATCCTATAGGGGTGTGCAATGAAGATCCAGAAGTGGTGTGGCTTCGGCGACGCACCATTTGGATGGCTCGGGGAAGTTCATCTTCATTGCTCTCAGCACCTCCCATGCAAACTGCCATCACCCGTTTTGCAGCAAGTACTTCAAGTACTCCTAAACCGACACAAAAATTCTACCAGCTGGTAGGGTCTGGTTTGTGGTCCGATGGGATTGGTGCAAGAAGAGATCAGGTTGGTAGAAACTTTTGAGATGCATAACCGGCTACGGCCGTTGGGCTTTGCAGTTTCTTGCTTCCGTGTCTTCCGAGTCCAGTTCTCTTCCAAACATTCAATGCCCTCTGCAAGAAGGAGCCAAGGGCTTCGACCGAACCCAAGCTGTCAATGAAACTTTCGACATGGAGTAGGATGGCATGTCCTGTACATGTGATAAAGAGCTGTCAAGGAAAC